CCAGAATTTCAGAGTAAAATACAGAAGTTCTGCCAACATTCATCCCAACACCCAAGGAGAAGAAGAAGAGCAACAAGCACAACCAAAGCCGTGCCATTCTTCAACAAATTCACTGAAGACGAAGAACAACAAGCACATCCAATCCAAAGTCGTGTCGTTCTTTCTCAAATTCAACAAAGAATAATAAACACGTCAAAACCGTATCGTTCTTTCTCAAATTCAACAAAGAACAATAAGCACATCATAATCGTGTTTTTCTTTCCATGCGATTCAACAAGTTTGAAGAATCATCAAATGATACTGTTCAAGATCAAACTTCTTTAGCCCTCGATAAAAAATCATTGGCGATTTTCCTCAACTACAAATATTTGAAGAAGATTATCAACAACCTGATTCAAGATCAGACTCCAACAACCTTTAAATCCAACCAACAAATGAGATCGAATCAGAGGATATTTTCTTTATTTTGTAAAGAATATCTCAGAGGATTGTACTCGGATTTTCATAAATCAATAAATTATAATTTGCTCCCTATTTCGTTATTAATTTGTAGATACAAAATTTGTGTGTACAACTGTCATGGTGATATTCTTCTTGTGGACTCAATTGAACACAGAGGCACACCATGGACATTTAATATGTTCGGGTCATCTACTACTTAAAATGTGAAACTTGCAAAGCTGAGAGTGGTCAAAATCAGCACAGCCAAAAAAGTAGTCAACATTCAGAGAGTGATCAGCACCATAGCAGTAATCAACATTCACAAAGTGATGAGGGTCAAACTAGTAATTTAGAGAGAGATGACAGCACTGTGGGTATCCTGCTGTTGAAGCATTCTCCCTCACACACACATATTTCTATGTACTAGTATAATGCACGTGCGATGCATGTGATGAAATAAATAGAATGAGAAGAAAAGAAACAAAAAGGGAAAATAAGTGAAGAATTAGCTGCAAAATGATGATTATATTTATTTAGAACAAAAAATATACACAAGGAGCATTACAAGAAAGTTTGTGTGTTGTACAAATCTATTTCTAAGAGTCTCAAGTTCAAAATCAAAGTACAACACAATAATGTTATATTTTTGGTACACATCTAGTCACATGCCACGTCAGCTATATTGTGTATAGAGATGTCTAGGCACGTGAAGAATAGAAAGGAGGAGAAAGAAAGAAGGAAAAAAAAAAAAAAAAGTCAACAAAGGTAGGAAGAAAATGCAAATTGTAGATATAGAAGTGGTCAGATCAGGTTGAAGTGTGTAGCGAGGTGACGTGAAGGAAGAAATAAGTCAGAGAGTCAGCAAGTGGAACAAGTGGGGATACACAATTTAACTCTGGAGCGTTCAAAGAGGTAGAGATAGAATAGATTCTTAGAGAGTTTTTTTTCTTCTTGTTCTAGTTGTAATTTCATTCTCAGTCAATGCATTGTTGTTTTATTACTTATCATTTTCTTGCTCTCAATTTATATACTTGAATTTTCTTGTTCTAATATTGCTTTAAATATTTATTTTTCAGTATTCATATTTTTATGATTTGAGTTAATTCTAGTAAGTGACAAATTCCAAAATCAATGTTTTAAAATCTTTTGTTTGAAAACAAAAACTTACTTGAATACGTGATTCCACCCTACTTGCCATGAGACATTTTTAGTTAAATAGTCGTAGGTATTTATTCTTTGTATAGAGTGAATTTTACAATGACAAATTCATAAATATACGCCTATCACAATCAAGTAGAGAAAATTAGGTTTTATAACATAATGGCCAGTTTGGGTACATTCAATTTAACTGCTGTACGAAAACTATACGTTTTACGTCTAAATGTCTCGTTGTCACAGACTTGTTAAGTATAATCACCATTGCTATAGTCTAAGCAATGAGATTCATCGAAATGCTAAAATGGCCGATATCGATGTATATGACTCCAGTAACTGATATTGGCAATTTTCTTATTATGATCCTGGATAGAAAAAATAAAAAATTATCGGATCTTATGTCACCGTCATGGTGATACTCGGCTTGTGGAGTCAATTGAATACAGAGGCATACCATGAACATTTAATATGTTCGGATCAGTAACCTTTGAATGTAAAGCTTGTAAAGCTTAGAGTGGTCAAAATCAACACAACCAAAAGAGTAGTCAACATTCAGAGAGTGATCAGTACCACAGTAGTAATTAACATTCACAGAGTGATGAGGGTTAAACTGGTAATTTGGAGAGAGATGACAGCGCTATGGGTATCCCCGCTATTGGAGGACTCTCCCTCATACACACATATACTAGCATAATACACGTGCAATGCACGTGATGAAATAAATATTTTAAATTATAAATATATAATTTTTTTTGTCCTTAAAAACTTGTTTATTTTTCTTTATGTTTAAAACTTGAGTGCAATTGTTAGAATGATATAATATACACTTCTTAGGCCTTCTTTCTTAATGCATGGCATGATTCTACAAAAAAGGAAATAAAAAAAATCAAAATATGTTCGGAAAAAAATAAAAAATTTTAACAAAACAAACCGAAGTCTTGCTTCAATATTTTCCCTCCATCCTCCAAACAATCATTTGCAGTGCTTTTTAATATCTTTGGAACTTCTTTACTAAGTAATTTCCACTTATCTTACCTTTCAAAAAATAAAAATATACCTTCAATTTTTTTTTCCTACTTCTTAGGCCTTCTTTCCTCATGAATGATAAAATAAAAATAAAAATTAGAATATGTTCAAAAAATAAAAAAATAATAATAATAATAAAAATAACAAAACAAACCTTCTGAAGCCTTGCTTCAATGTTTTCCCTTACTCTACTTTCTCATCCCATCCTCTAAACAATCATTTGTAGTGTAATTAAGCTTAATTTAATATTCTAACCAAAACAAGAACACATAACAAAATGATAATCTCTATGACAATTTAACAAAATAAAATAGTGATTTTTAATCCATGAAAAAAAAAAAGTTTATAAAACAAACATTCTCAAGCCTTGCTTCAATATTTTTCCTCTACTCTTCTTTCCTTTCCCATCCTCCAAACAACAATGCAGTGTAATGAAGTTTAATTCAATATTCTAACCAAAACAAGAACACATAACAAGATGTTCAATCTCCAAGATAATTTATCAAAACGAAATAATGATTTTTAATCCATGAAAAAAATAAAAAACATATCTACACCAAACACACACAATATATATATATATATACACACACACACACATTTATAACAAATATTAATGAAAGAGTGGGAATGCCCAAAATATATAATGTAGCACAGTATATTTTGTTAGGAAAGAGAGATATATATGTAACTATTGGGTAATTAAAACAGTTGTAATTGTTGACTTTTCAACTCCTAACTTTTTTAATACAATTATAATGTACACTTTTTTCATTAGAATAGTATATATATGATATAAATTGAAATTAACCTTTTACTCTGGCACATTAATGTAAATGAGGTATAAATAATTAGATATAGTTAATTAGACATTTTATAGAAAAAAAATAAAAATATTAAGAAATTTCTTACACTTTTAGAATCCATGAAAAAAAAATAAAAAACACATCTACACCAAACACACACACACAATATATATATATATATATATATATATATAACAAATACTAATGAAAGAGTGGGAATGCCCAAAATATATAATGTAGCAGAGTATATTTTGTTAGGAAAGAGAGATATATATGTAACTATTGGGCAATTAAAACAGTTATAACTGCTGACTTTTCAACTCTTAACTTTTTTAATAGAATTATAATGTTTTAACTCTCAACTTTTTTAATAGAATTATAATGTACACTTTTTTCATTAGAATATTATGCAGATGACATAAATTGAAATTAACGTTTTACTCCGGCACATTAATGTAAATGAGGTATGAATAATTAGATATTGTATGATATATATATATTAAGAAATTTCTTACACTTTTAGAATAGATATATAGATATAGATACAAATTTTACCAATATACCCTCATAATCCTCATTATATAAAATTATAAATATTATTAGATATCAATTTATGATTATCCAACAATAGTGAGATCTCCATACCAGCAAGTGAACATAGGAAATCCCATCCATGTCCCAATTATCTGTTGTGCAGTGGTCTCTTTTCTTTTCTTTTAAATCATTTATTTAACTTCTAATATTTAAATAAATTTAAAAAATCACGAATTTTGCTCTCATTTGGATTTATGGATGGGCAAAACAGCAATAGCAAGCTCTGCATAGTGTGTATATATACATGTAAGAAGTTTTTTTAAAAAAAAAAATAAAAAGAAAAAAGGAAAGTGCTGTATACAAGAAGTAAATAATAATAATAATAATAATAAAGAAAAAGAAAATATCATGAAAGAAATAAAAATTAGACATATACTAATGTGTAATTGGACGGTTTGAGGAATGAATACAAAAAACTAAATTTAAGTATTTGTCATGAAAAAAATATATATATATAATTATTTGTCTTCATTTACATCATGCATAGCAATGTACCATGGCTCATCTGATGAGCTCATCATGCCAGGTTTGGTAAAGTTATGACAGTCCAATAACTTATCAAAAAAACAAAAAGTTATGACAGTCCAATGGATCGATTTGAAGCTTTAGATGACCTGGGCGGCCCCAACTATCCATTAATTTTTTCGTAAGATCTAAAAATATAAGTAAACAATTAATTAATTATTTATTATTGTTATTATTTTTGAATGGTATAAATAAAAATTTTAGGGAAGTAATAGTAGTGATATATAAAAAAATAAATTTTTGCGGTTTTTCTTATTGGTTGGGGTGTAGTAATATAAGTAAATAAAAATTTTAGGGAGGTACTTTTTGGGCTATTGAAAATAAATGAACAACTTTATCCAATGTACGCCCGACACGTCATCTGCCTCAACTGAACTCGACCACATCTGATTTTAAGCATCTAAATTCTAAACTGAGAGACAATCCTAACCCTCCTTTGCTTCCTTCGCCAATCGCAGCGCAGCCGTTCACCTTCTTTAGGTTACTCTCTCTCTCTCAAGCCCATGTATGTGTATGTGTGTATATCTTTTTGGTGATATATTTGCAGCTTATTATTGAAACAACAGCAGTGTTTTGGTAAGATTGACATGAATTTGTTCTGTTTTTGTTTTGATTTGAATGTTTGTATTCGTTTTTTTCGGCATCATTCAAAACTAGGTATAGGATTACAGTGAATTAGCTAATTCTACCATAGATGTCGATCACAACGATATATGTATATATATGTATATACGCACTGCGAACACTAGCTTTCAAGACTCAAATCCTACTATTTGTTTAATCATGTCGTTTTTTGCATTTTTTGAAACTTATACTGGGTTTGATTTTTTTTTTTTAAGCTGGTTCTTAATCAAAATTTCTCATACACATTGAGGTTTAGGAACACTCATAACTGATTAAAAGATGGATGTTTACATCACTTGATTTGTATATTTGAATTCTTTAGTAATTCACTTTCATGACCCTTTTTTCAGTTTGTCCCAGTTGATCTAAAAAAATGATAAAAAGGCGATTCTATAAGCTAGAACATGGCGATGCAGATAAACACTCAGATTCTTCTTCATCTTCTTCGGATTCCGAAGTAGAGGCAGAAGAAACAGAAGCAGATGATGATGTAGTTGCTGAAGTGAGGGCAAAGGATGAAGCTTGCTCTACTTCTTCTGGTTTTTATATTGTCACTAGTTCTCTCTTTATGATTAACTCAATTGAAGTTACTGAATTTTCCGTGCTTTATTGCTCATGAATAAAGGGTTGCATCTTTTTAAATATTCTCGGAATTTCGCTATAGTCAGCTATGTGAATTGGATGGTATTAGAAAATTAATTTATTGTTTCTTTTGTTTAAATTTCTCTGGAAAAGTTGCATAATTGTAGCATTTGAGATTTTCTTCCCTCCATGTTTACTCAAATTGGAATGTTTGTGTTTCCGTTTGATATATTGTTACATACAACATAATGAGAGATGCTGTCTTTCTTATTTTATTTACATTACTAATACCATTGTCATAATATTCTCCAAAATTATTTCACAACTCACATACTTTTCTTCTTTCTTTATGCATCAATCATGGGTTTGGATTCATATGGATATTTTTGAAATTTTCTTTTGTGAATTAACCCAAGATTTGTTTTATTTTATTTTATTTTTAATTTAATTTTCAGGGTATGTGAGTGAGGATGGCTCAGCAAAGGAAGTTGATGTTGACTCATCAGGTAAGATTTGGTTTTGCAACTTGAATTCTAGTAAGTTTTGTAGTTATTATTATTATTTTTATTTTTTAGAGATTAAGCTTTTTACCACTTTAACAGGTGTTCAGAATAAATTCGGTTATGCTATGCTTTTTAGCTACAAGAAATTTTATTCTTTGATATTGAGGACTATGTATTCATTTGTCTGTGTAACATTTGCTATACTATCACTGTCAGAATTCAGAAGTCAGAACCTTTTTCTGTTGGTTAAGAACTATGAAGAAACCATTTTCTCTATATCCCTAACAATCGTATCACTGTCGTAAGGAATTTCCTTATCTTCATGTGCGCATAATATATGATTGTCAAGTTACAGCTTCAAACTGGTCTTGTAAACAGTCAGCTTTTAGGTTCACTAGACACTAACACGTGATAATGCCTGTCTAGTAGTGTGAACGAGAACGATGAGCAAATGCTTTCTAGTTGCCTTTGCTATTGAGAATTTTAATATACTGGAATCTAAAATTGCAAGTATTGGCAGGTTTACTGAAAAATGATGATGACAGTGGAAGTGGAGATGACAGAACAAACATTAATAGAAGTCCATCTGCTAAAAAGGATGCTGAACCATTTAAGATGCAGTCTGATATTGTGGCCGAAAAGGATTCAGTCCCATCTGATGATGCAGGCTGTATCTTGAAATGTAAATCAGTTTTTAGGTGCAAGCTGTGCCCAAGAATTGTCTGCTTGACCGAGGAAAGCTTAAAGGCTCATCTCAAATCTAAGGTAAACTGGCATATATTATGTTTCTTTCTCTATTTAAACCCCAATCATCACTCAAAATATCATCCCCAGTATTTGGGATTAACAGGAAATTTCTTCCATGATTCTAGTCATGAGATGTTACATATTAAATCTTTTTGTTGTGAATGTTGATGAGACAGACCTCCTTCGTATCTCTTCCTGATTATTCAAATATGAGTTGCTTCTATTTACTTTTGTATATTCTGTACTAAATCATATAATGATACTGTTCTTTTTTTGTGATATTTAAGTATGTGTCTGTTTGAGAGAACAAATTTGGGCTTTAAGTAAAATTGGAAATAAGAGGTTATTAAACTTCACTCATTGTGTTGTCATGAAACAAATTTTCTATTGAAATCTGTAATATTTGGTACTTTATATTATATGGTAACTTGTATTTGAATTCAGATAATCAAGAGGGTGAATATTACATTGCACAATGGTTTAGACCTCACTCAAAGATGCCTGGATCATCTTATTTATTATAGAGAGGCAAAGGAGATGTGGTTTCTGTTGCCCTTGTTTGTCTTGAATTTTTCCCATATCATTTGCAAAGTTTCTTCTTCGTTGTAGAGGTGACAAAGTTAATAGGAAGAAGTTGAAGACATGGAATGCTGCTCCTGTTTTTGATATGGTGTATTTGGGTGGAGGCAAAATAAGCATTTTTTCAAATGGTAAAGGATCTGGTCCACAGATTGAAGAGCACTTTTTAGGAGTAAAATTGTTGGATGACTAAGGTGGTGAATTTCTCCCTCAGGGCATTTGAAATCTTTTTGAGAAACATGATTCCTTTCTGTTACTTTACAGGGATATTTGGATTCTTGCTTTTTGGATACTTTTACGGACATGGGAACCTGGGGAGCTTCCCTTTTTACAGTCATTAATGATATAGCATTTAGTTATCAAAATAGCATTAGTATTATCAACAGATCAAATAGCCATCAACTTTAAGATTCCATTATGTTTTCAAGCGTTATAGCCGCTGCCTGATGTCAACTTTGTAGGTTCATTCAATTTTCTAATTATCTTGAAAGAATAGGACTACACAATGTGCACATAAATCCATGTCTTGCCTCTCATCTAGTTTGACAAATGTGGTAGCCTTTGGAAGCCCAAAATGAGGGGGTGTTCCCACATCAATGAAGAAGTCTCTTTCTTCCTAGATGAATGTTTTTGTGCTCATCTCAGTCCTTCGGATAATCTGCTATGAGTTTGATTTGGTATGTCATGTTCATATATATATATATATATATATAAAGGGCTAGCCCAGTGTACAAGGCTGCCGCCATTGCGGGGTTTTGTGAGGGGTCAAATGTACTAAGCCTTACCTCCACATGGAGAGGCTGTTTCCGGTTTCGGACCTATGACCTCCAGATCACAAGAAATCATGTATTATTGTTTGGGGTGAGGGAACTGTGCACTTGTTTCTTTTAGGAATCGTAACTACCTGTGGCAAAGTGGGCTCCAAGCTAGTGTGGCAAGTTGCCACGGACTAAAGAGGGTTTTACTGTCTTCCTTAGTTTACTTGTAGTTGGTTTGGTCATTGGCTGGGATTGATTGATTTGAAGGTTGTTGGACATTGTCATGTGGATTGTCAACACTAAAAATGCTTGCAATTAATTCTTTGAAATTATCAAGGATTCTATGAAAGCTGCAGCTTAAAAGTTATGTTTAGGATGTGATCTTTATTTGTCCGTTGCACTGCTTTTTGATTTTCTCTTCAGTTTTTTGATAAGTGCCTTTTGTCTACGTTCTCAATGATTAAACACTTGTTTTTTGCTTTAAACCACACATGAAACTGTTTGACCATTTTTATCAAATCCCAAGTCCATAACAGACCTAACCCCACTCTCGGCCTATTTGAGCTATGGCACACTGAATCCTGAATCCTAGTCTGTCATTGAACGGCTAGATTTTAAAACGTCCTACTTCAGTTTGAAATAAGAGTTAAGAATTAAGGTGCTAGTTAAAGTGTGATACTGAACGATTGACCCATGTATATTCAACTATTTTTCCTTCCACCTCACCAACTATTCCCTCCTTTTCCTTTTGGGTTGGAGCAGGGGTGGTTGGGCAATGATTGGGAAGTTACAGATATTCCTACTTCAGGGACAGAGTAACAGCCACTCCACATTCAGCCATTATACTGTATTTATTACTGCTATGAATTATTCACTATGATGAACTAACTTACAAACACAAGTTCAGATTTAACCTTTCAACGGAGGAATTGTGCAACTAATGCTAAAATGTACTCTTTTACTTCCATCATTCTCAAAGGAAACAAGAACAGCAATCATCACGGGTGACCTATATATATGTTCAATTTTCGTTGCCCCATATGCTCTCTATATCTGATCTATTGAAGACTCCTTTTATATTGTTATAGAGACACGCCCGATCTGAAAAACTACTGAGTGAAGGGAGGCTTAAGCACATGCTCAACAGTGATGGGGATACTGACGGAGAGACTCATGCAGAGAGGCATGCTCGAATTATGGCTCCTGCACAGGTTGGTATATCTGCAATTGAGATCCTTATTGACATGAGTGCGTAAAGTGAAGTCAATGTCTAAATAGGTGATTATTTTCTGTTAATTATACCCAGAATTCGGTAATTTCAAAAAGGAAAAACAAAGGGCGGCAGAGACAGAGAGAGAGGAAGAGGTTAAAGAAGGTATATACATCATACCTTAGCGATTGCATTATGTACATTTGGTTGCAAGATCATGTAATGTTCAAATTTCTTAATGTGAACAGCAGAATATGGGAGAAGATTCGGATACAGGGAAAGCAGGACAATTAACAAAGAACCCAGCCAAGAGAAGGCGTAAAAGTGAGAATTGAAGAATATTACAGCTTGCTTGCTTCTGTGCGAGCTCGGACGGGAAACTGTAAAATGAAACAGAGAAATAGCATTTAAATTTATGCGGAGTTGTGGCATTTTATGTTTTTTTTGGCAAGTAGTGTTTTCGGCTTGAACGCGAAGGGTTCGCAAAAAAAATAAAAAAATGTTCAGTTTTGTCAACTCTGGAATTGTATCCTCCCCTCTAATGCTTAGGGACAATTGGATTTTTGGCAATGCAATTCTGGGATTTTTGTTTTTTGCCCGTTATACTCTCTCTAGTTAATAGATTGGTGGCAGCGGTACATTCAAGATCCCAGTGAGGCTTCAATAACACAGGCCGTGGTACAAGAGAGAAGTACTTGATAATGGATGTGAGTTTGATTTCGAATTTGGACTTGAATTCGTTACCAAGAAATGAAGATAGTTAGATGGCTTCGACTGGTGTGACAAACGATCCATCTACGTGCATGGAGTGTGTGAATACTGAGGGGGGAAGGCCGGCCACATTTCATCTGTGCGTACACAATGCCAATGCGGTTGGGTTACGCTCAACGTTCGGTCCGATTGCTCGTTACGCTGTGGTTGTACGGTTCCGGTCAACCGCCAGTGGCCAGGCCGAGCAATTGCTCGGCCGCACAAAGCTTCTTCGCTCACACCTTCACTCATTGAAAATAGTAAGTGATTTGAGGGTTGAAGCATACATTTGATCGTATAAATATGATCGGATGTTTCAAATTTTTGCTCGTTTTATTATAACTCTAGAGTCGTTAGTCTGAATGCCGGACTATGTAGAATTTTCCTTTGAAGTTTTTGTACAAGAACAATGTTATTGGTCTGTACCACAAATTTTTTTTTTTTCCTGTCTGTACCACAGGTTAGGAAACAAATATATAGCAAAAATACTGGAAATAATTGATACAATATTATGATAGGTCTTCACTGCCCATTGTTTTATTATTATTATTATTATTTTTTATTTTATCGTTTGGGTTACGGCAGTTAATATTAAAAGTTGACATTAAATATATCATGTTGTCATTGGAGTCATTGACCATGCAACTATTAAACTCACGCTAATACTATACAACAATACAACCATCAAACTATATATTATTTTTTACCCCAAAAAAATGGTTGCGTTACAAAGGAAGTCAACACTCTAAATGCTATATTACAAGATAAGCATCAAAGTTCATATGCATATCTGACTGAGAGTCAAATAAATAATGGTTTAGTGGTAGAGAGTTGAGAGAAACATATCAGTATGGAAGAGGTGCCAATGCCAGAGGGAGGTGAAAGGAGATGGGTGGTTACAAGGGGTGTCTTTGTGGGAGAGCTGAAGAAGGTGAGCTACATTGCGGCGCCGATGGTGGCTGTGACAGTAATGCAGTACCTCTTGCAAGTCATATCAGTGATGATGGTAGGACACCTTGGTCAGCTCGAGCTTTCCAGTGTCGCCATCGCCACCTCTCTAACCAATGTCAGCGGCTTCAGTCTTCTTGTAAGTAATACTTTTACCGTTATGCTAAAATGTCAAATTATAATGCCAATTAGGAACATAAAGAAAAGTAGTTGTCATGGTAATTTACGAAAGAGAAATAAAACTCACAACATCCAACGATTGACAATCGCTATGATAGTCAGTCATGCAGTATGTGCATGATTGTCGCTAGCATTCCTCTTTACACAACAGGTTACAGCTCCTCAATTGATAAAATCATTTATAATGTGGTTTTCCAGATCTAATATGTTCTCATGTTTATGAACACAAGTCTAGACTGTTGGTCTCAACTTCCACTAGTTCTCCTAAAACCAATTGGTGTTAGGTAGGGCTTCAGCCTTGTACTTTAAACTTTGTGTTCGTGGCGGTTAGTCCATTGAGTACACCGGCCAGCCACAGAGCTTACTAAGGGTGGACCTTGGCTACCTGCCAACATAGACAGACTGTGTGGACAATGTCTCCATAAATCAAGCAATGCAAGGGTAGAATAGGTTTGTTGAGGAACAAGAGTCTTAACTAGAACACATTGCTTACTCATAAAATCATACCAGTATTAGTAACTAATTACAGTTTGTAAATGCCAATTAGTCAGGATTGGTGGGTGGATTGGAAACTCTATGTGGTCAAGCTTATGGGGCACAACAATATCAAAAGCTTGGAATCTACACTTATAGTGCCATCATCTCTCTCGTTTTGGTGTGTTTCCCGGTCTCTCTCTTATGGATCTTCATGGACAAACTGTTGATTCTCGTAGGCCAAGACCCTTCAATCTCACTTGAAGCATGCAAATACTCCATTTGGCTCATCCCAGCTCTGTTTGGTGGTGCAATTCTTAAACCTCTAGTCCGATACTTGCAGTCCCAGAGTTTAACTCTTCCAATGCTTGGAAGCTCCTTCATTGTTCTGTGTTTACATTTACCTCTCTGTTGGGCTCTCATCTTTAAGTTCAAATTGGGAATTCACGGAGCGGCTATAGCCATCAGTTTATCCACTTGGTTGAATGTGATATTGCTTGGATTGTATGTGAAGTACTCTGCAACCTGTAAGAAAACTCGAATGCCTTTCTCAAAGGATGCCTTCTTTGGTATCGGGGAATTCTTCAGTTTTGCTGTCCCATCTGCTGTAATGGTTTGGTAATTTCATTCCCTTTTTCTAAGATTTGAATCTCTTATTCACCTTTTTATCATGCTAATTTTTTTTCCTTTTGTGTCGACGATTAATAGTCTTAAGTGGTGGTCACTTGAGCTACTTGTTTTGCTGTCAGGCCTGTTACCAAATCCAAAGCTTGAAACTTCAGTACTATCTATATGGTATGCTTCCATTTCAATCCTTAATTTTGTGGTTGGTGAATTGGGGATTTATAATTCATTTGAAATTTATAATTCAAATGTTTCTAATGTTTCAAAATCTCTGTGATCAGCCTTACAATCTCTACACTGCACTTTACCATACAATATGGATTTGGGGCAGCTGCAAGGTTTACTCTAGACATTAATCCTTGTGCATATACTTGTGTATATTGTACGTTTGGTGACTATATGTATGTATATATGCTTGTACTAAGATGTTGGATTGAATGTTATGTAGTACTCGGGTTTCGAATGAACTGGGAGCTGGGAATCCTCAAGCCGCTAGAGTGGCTGTTTGGGCTGTAATGGTTCTTGCTGTCAGTGAGTCGATTATTGTGAGCATAGCTCTCTTCTGTTGCCGGTATGTTTTGGGGTATGCTTACAGCAATGACAAGCAAGTTGTGAATTATATTGCTGTGATGGCTCCCTTGATTTGTCTCTCAATTGTCACGGACAGTTTACAAGCCGTTATTTCTGGTTAGTTTCCCTCATTTTTCATGTATGTATCATTTTCCAGCCAAGAATGTTCTGAATCAACTGTCGCGCTTGTTTGTAAAGACAAAAACAATATGAAAAAAGTACTGCAATCTCATTAGAAGTTCTATATTCTGAAAGTTGATTACAAACATGTCTGTGAAATCATTATTCTTATTTGAAACAGGTATTGCTAGGGGGAGTGGGTGGCAGCATATTGGTGCCTATGTCAATATTGGGGCGTTTTATCTTGTTGGAACTCCGGTGGCTGTCATACTGGGATTTTCTCTGCATTTAAGAGCAAAGGGCCTTTGGATTGGAATCGTGATCGGATCCATTGTACAATCTACCATTCTCTCTGTTATAACAGGATTCACAAATTGGCAAAAGCAGGTTCTTCGTAGTTCTCACTCTCTTTACAGTTCTCTTTGCTAACAATTCACCTCTTTTAAAATTTCCCTTTCTTTATAAAGAAAATTTGAAGTCATACAATCACTCAGCATAAGCACTTGAGAATTATTTTTGTGACATCCCAAACTATCATTTATTTTCCTCCCTTCACATGGCAAACATTGGAGGGAAAATTTTGATGACATCTCAACGGTTGTTGAATTGAAACCGGCTTTTTGAATGATAATTTAATTTTGGGTCTCTTTTGTAGGCAACCAAGGCAAGGGAGAGGATATTTCAAGGTAGATCTTTGGGAGATGATGAAAATTGAATGAGAAAAGGAAAAAATTTACATGGTACCAGCTTAGCTAAAGAGAAAGGACTTCCTATAGTACTTAAAAAATCATTTCACTGTAATGTACATAAAGTTCTTTAGATATTTTTTTTTTTCCCTTTTTTGATGTCCCATAGAAGTGAAGCTATTCCATTTTGATTTACATTTGGTGAATATTTCATATAGTTTGTATCGTTTATTTGTAATTGTACAAAATCTAGTCTCAAACACGATTTTGCTGACGCCTTTCGTAAGAATGCCTGCGATCTTTCGACTATTCTTTCTCCACCAGGAGAAAAAAGGTTACTTCGTTGTGACTGAGATCCTGAAAACATGACTTAAAGGTATGGTGGATTAGACCAGAGGAAGCCTAGGCCTGCCGTTTCTATCAATCATGCATTACTAAGCAATGAATTCGACAATTTTGCTATAAATTTATAATGATATCTTCATCATTTAACATAGTTTATAGGATATCATTATAAATGATGAATATATTATAAATTTCTATCAATGCATCTATCACATTTTCTAAGTATTTTAGATTATAAATATAAAACCATGCTAATTGATCCTAAAGTGAGGTAATATAATATAATATAATACAACACAATAGATAGATATAATAGGTATGTTTGGTGGATCATATTATCATTAGGCTAAAAATTCCCATGATTTCAGAAGGAAACGGAAATCACACATGCGTTCTTACTTTTTCTGGTTCATTTTTTTTTGTTCAGCATCATTTTCATGGAATCACATGATCTCTTTTTTCTTTTCCTTTCCCTTCTGATCTTTTTCCTTTCCTAAATCTGTCTTGTAGTTTATAAATTTTTATGGTGAGAGCATCTGCACACGTGTATTTTTCATCCCCTTTCACATGTGCTTATCTACCAGATTGATTTGATCCTCCAAAGTACAAAAAAGGTGACAAGCACAAAAATACAAAAGAATTTTTTGAATAACTCTTCCAAGTTGGTTGCTTGCATTTGGATCTCGTCTTTTCTCAATCAATTGATATGGATCCACATAAATTTATTGAGTGACTGGCCTTCCTTGTGCCTAATTAGCTTTAGAATTAGGCTGCCAAAAACCAGATCTCTCTCTCACACACACACACAGATTAAATTGAGTCGGCCTTAAAACTCTATAATGGGATGATGAGTTGATATTATGAGAAAATATTTCATTATGTGTTCTTTTATTTTTTGGTTGTGTTAGAAGGCCAATTGACACACAAGGGGGTTGATGGAAGAAGCACTGTTGCCCGAGAAAAAGGAGAGGATCGAAAGGGCGGTGACATGGGAGGTGTTTGTGGAAGAGCTGAAGAGGGTAAGTTGCATAGCAATGCCTATGGTGGTGGTGACAGTGTCGCAGTACCTCTTGCGGGTTGTGTCAATGGTAATGGTGGGGCACCTTGGTACACTGTCTCTCTCCAGTGCAGCCATCGCCACCTCTCTTACCAATGTCACCGGCTTCAGTCTCCTAGTAAGTCTCCTTTCTTCTCCCCGAGTTTTAGTTAAGACTTAAAAGCAGTGTTATACAATCTGAAATGTTTATCTGAGTAAATAAGTCAGAAAAGAAAGTTGAATTTTGATAGATAAACTAATGGCAGGAGCCTCGTGCATTGGGCTAGCCCTAGCCCTAGCTCTTGTTTGTTTAGTAATAACATTGTTACCATAACAAGGGTGTTACCTGCATAAATATTCCATTTCACTAGGAACTATTCATTTAGTAGATGCAAGTGTGCAACAAATCTTAATGATTGCCCCTCTTAATTCCTGATGATTTGCGTTTCCCATCCCCGGTTAATTGTGACATAGTGTTCTGTTAAATTTTATTGACTGAATGTTATTTGCAATCTGATCTTTTAGTTCTTGCTCCAGAAATTTTAAGTGATTTAATATATAATACAGTGAGTATATGAGAAAAAAATAAAATTTACAGGTGCAACTAGGGTTTCAAAAGGCTAAATTGTTCATTGAATATTTGCAGTGATTATGCATGTGGGAGGTGTTCAGTTCTGAGATAGTTGTTAGGTTCCAGTTTTATTGTCTCAACTTGCCGATGAAATGATCATGAATGTTCATGTAATTATGTTAACAGAGTACTTAAAATCAATAAATAAATAAATAAAAGTCAATTAATTCCCTTTCATTTTAACAGATTCTTCAAAACTATTGTTTTTAAACAAACTTAATTTCATTGGAAGAAGCAATGCACTAGTATCTACAAATCATTGTTGAAATTAATAATGTTAGGAGCAAAGGTGTCCCATCTTTTAGCTGTGGCATAGAGGCAAAGATGGAATTCTTGCCGGTTTTGTATCATTGACGCCGTTTATGGCCGATGCTTTTAGACTACTTTCCTGTCTACTGCAACAATCCTCCCATTCATGTTTTGATTCTAAATTTGCTGAATCATGGAAAGCTAGTCTTAATACCTACAATGGCTAATTGAATATTGAATCTTCCAAGCAGTTGGGAATGGCTAGTGCATTGGAAACTCTATGTGGACAAGCTTATGGAGCAGAGCAATATCAGAAGCTTGGAATCTTTACATATGGGGCTATTGTCTCTCTCATTCTAGTTTGTATACCAGTGTCTCTTCTGTGGATATTCTTGGACAAACTACTAATATTCATAGGCCAAGACCCTTTAATCTCACTTGAAGCTGGCAGATACTCAGTTTGGCTCATTCTTGCACTATTTCCCTACGCGATTCTTCAATCACTTGTACGCTTCCTGCAGACTCAGAGTTTGATCCTTCCAATGCTCGTATGCTCAATTGCAACACTATCTTTCCATGTAGCTGTTTGTTGGTTTCTAGTATTTACGATGAACCTAGGAAACACTGGAGCAGCATTGGCCATTGGTTTATCTTATTGGTTGAACGTGATCTTGCTCGGGCTTTATGTCAAGTATTCTTCAGCCTGTGAAAAAGCTCGTGTCTCATTCTCGAAGGATGTTTTTCTAAGTATTCCAGAGTTCTTCCACCTTGCTATCCCTTCTGCTGTCATGGTTTGGTAATTTTATTGTCTTCTTTTTATCAACAGAATAGTGTTTTTGCTTTCTGTTTGTCCTAGTATCTTTTGGGATATGATATTTTCTTCTGATGCCAATGATTTCAGTCTTGAATGGTGGTCAGTTGAGATAGTTATATTGCTTTCCGGGCTTTTGTCTAATCCAAAACTCGAGACTTCAGTGCTTTCAATATGGTATGCTTCTTTTTCTTTGCTCTGCTCAAGTATTAAATCGTTTGGAATTAAACTTGCAATAGAATTTCTTATGATCTCTTCAATAATTTTTCCAAGCAGCCTCACAACAACTACATTGCACTATCACATACCGTATTCTGTTGGTGCTGCTGCAAGGTTTGCTCTAAAACTGTTTGCTAATGCATCTACCTGAATACCTATGATTTATGCTTATGAGCATAGGGAGTATAATTTCTTGAATGCTTTTGAAAGAATTGGTTAAACCATTTTTGTAGCACTCGGGTTTCGAATGAATTAGGAGCTGGGAATCCACAGGCAGCTCGGGTGTCTGTCTTGGTTGTGTTGGCTCTTGGACTTGCAGAGGTGTTAATTGCAAGCACAACCCTCTTCTGCTGCCGTCATGTCCTGGGATATGCATACGCTAATGAGAAGGAAGTCGTCGGTTATGTTGAAGAAATGACTCCTCTTGTTTCTTTCTCTTTTATCATGGATGGTTTACAAGCAGTACTTGGTGGTGATTGTCTTACCTCCCTCTCTTCCACAATTAGTTTTTGTTCAAGCAATGCCTAGTATGTGCTTTATATATCCATTACTGCGTGTTTGGACTCCTAAGGAGCCCTATAGTCTTAACAGATATGTCTACTGTCAAAATAACATGGAAAATCAGCTCTGGTCATATAGATGTACTAGTGAGCATATTGAGAAGAAATTAGCTACCAAGTCCTGCCTTACTGGACTAGTCAGGTAGCCAAATATTCTTCAATTACTATGATGATTTACACTTAGTGACTATCAGTAACACGCACACTCAGACGCCCCCACGGTGCCCACTACGTGGCTCAAACCCTCACCTCCCACTTTGGGACGGGAGATTATACTACGTGGGACAATGGCCCGATTGTCACAGAGAAGAACTCTGTTAGAACTGGCAGCTTAAAGGCTGTAATGCCACCATTTTCTTTCGTCAAAACGATGATGCATAAGATTTTATTAGTGGAAGACATTCGAGTTGGTCCCGAGAACACTTAACGTTGTTAAATTTCTTCTTTGAATCAGGAGTTGCTAGAGGAAGTGGGAGGCAGCATCTAGGGGCCTGTGTGAATCTTACAGCATTTTATATAGTGGGAATTCCAGTAGCTGTAGTATTAGGTTTTGCCTTGCATTTGGGAGGAAAAGGCCTTTGGATTGGGATAGCAATGGGGTTGACAGTACAAGCTACTCTGCTTTCTCTTATAACAGGCTTCACAAATTGGCAAAAACAGGTACTTATTGTCTCTCAAGTGTTTTCTTCCATTACTACAAATTTGGCTGCATAAAATGCGGAAGGAAGAGATTTATTATGTGTTTTGAAAAGTCATATAATCTTGGCTTGCTACACAAATCGTAGATGATGACTTAATTTTTTTTCTTTTACAAATGTTGCAGGTAGCTAAGGCTAGGAAAAGGGTATTTTGAAGTCTATTTGTAGCTGAGAATGACACTTGTAAAACTCCGTAATTTTGTACCAAATCTTTTTTCATTTATCACATATATCACAGGAGTTGTGCGGGCAATAGCTGTTGTGGTGGGCTCACTATAGTTGTTGTGGTGGGCCTCACAGTTTGTGAGACACCTTATTAGTCAAGTATCCGTACATTTATCATTGTTACGATAAAAAACCCAATTTATATAGTTGCTGTTGCATCGTTACACTTATAACTTATTGATTACATTGCTTTAATCAAAATTGAGATATTTTCTAAAAATTCTAAATAATTGTTCGAATTGCGAGTTATATTCGCGTACAATTGGAGTGGAAAGTGATTAAACATAATCGAACATCCACATTGTATTTAGTTTGTCTCAAATTTTCACAAAAGTGATCCTGTGTAGGCATGGGGCATATTTTGGGCATATTTTGAATCGAAGGTGGTTCAATTTCACTGTCGTTACTTGATGTTGTGCTTTTGTCCTTTTAAGACATCTCTTATTATACATGAAGAAAATTGCTTATATGGATAGTGTAAAATAAAAAATCCCATATTCAATAACAATATAAAATTTATAAAAGTAACCCACATATCAGTGTAAGTTTATTGATTAATTAAAATTAATAGATTACACAAAAGTTTTGGTACATAAACTACTTCAATACACTTATATTACAATGAAACATGTGACATGGCAAGGTACATCACTTCCTTCACTCTTCAAAAGGGACAAAACATGGGAACACAGAGAAGCTAAAACACGTGTGTGTGTGTGTGTGCGTGTTTCGTCTCTCAGACTATGCTAGTAAGGTGGTGGTGGTGGTCTATAGGGATCAAAGTAGGGTGGTGGAGGTGGACCGGGTGGTCCAGGAGGCGGTGCATAGGGATCAAAATATGGTGGTGGAGGTGGACCGGGTGGTCCAGGAGGCGGTGCGTAGGGATCAAAATATGGTGGTGGAGGTGGACCTGGAGGCGGTGCATAGGGCGGTGGGGGTGGACCGGGGTGTCGATGAGGTGGTGAAGGAGGAGCATAGTAGTCGGGACGCGGAGGAGGTGGAGCGTATGCAGCCGATGGTGGAGGTGCAAAGGGGTCCGGTGGTGGTGGTGGAGGTGCAAAAGGATCCGGCGGCGGTGGTGGATGTTGGTGTGGAGGTAGTTGTCCCCAAAATGCCATTTCTTTGATTGGTGAAGTAAGTTTATTGATTGGAAATTGGGAATGAGTAAGAGGATATATATACATGAGAATATTCTAGATATATACTACGTGTCACGGACTGGTAGTTTGGAGTTCAAAACTGTTAGATGAAAATGGTTAGATCTTATTCTAGACTCTCCTTTTCCATTTCGTCGCGCAAGAGGTTAAGAGAATGAAAAATTCATATGGAAGGATAATAAAGACTTTGCGATTGAATGGAGACTATATTGCGTAGTAGGTGTATGTCGGTAGTTTTATCTTTTAAGTTACGTAATTCTTTTTAATAATTATTGTTATCGTATTGCCCTCATTTAATTTTTCATTGTTTATAATTTAATTCTGTCGTTCTCGCTTTCAAATTCTTTCTCGCTCCCAAACTCACTTTATGTAACTTAGGTTCTATTCCTCAGCTGTATTTTATGATATCAAATGTTCTACAATTTGAAAATAATGTTTGGTGTGAGAAAAAATGCGAATATTGAGATGAATGTAGAAAATATTATAATTTGAAATGATCATCATATATGAAAAATGATTGGAATAGATTAAAAAATATATATATATTCAAGGATCCAAAATGTGCGAGGAAAACCTGATTAAAAAAATAATATAAAGTCCGTGAGAATAATTCTTAAGGTAGAGAAAAATTGCAAATGGAGTTAGTAAATAATTAATATATAATAGTATATAAATTGACTGAGATTATATATAGCCTTAAATAGGACCGAATGAAACACAGCCAACATCATGTGATTGGAAAAGGCTTGATTACTATTTTTTGTTCAAAATTTCAAGTATATATATATAGGATAATGTACATTCAGTATGTTTTCGAGCCATTTCGGTCGTCTGAAGCTTCATTTCAGTTGACCGATGGCCTTTGGCTTTTATTTGAACTTCAAAAACCCATTTCCAGTCATATTCATATGCACACATATAGATTATATTTTCTGGGTTTGTGATTTTTTGGGGGAGATCTATTGAGGAAGGAAGAGACAAAGACGATTTTGATGATGGATTATGAACAATGTTTCAAAGCCTTCATCTTCATCTTCAGCATTGCATACAAGAAAAGTGTACCTATTATGTCACTAGTCCTTTTTAACATATAAAGATTGAATCTTTGAATGAAAATTAGAGTTTTGAGATTAACTTTTTCGAGTTCCCTATAGAGTTGCGAAGTAAACTCATCATTCATAGAATTCTCTTTTGGATTGACCACAAGTTCAATTAGAAATTCTTCTTCCTTTTCCTGATTTAGAACGTCTATGTCCAAGTGAGACTCAGGAAGCATCCTAAGCTACCTTAGAGTTTAAGCAACAAGAATCATGATATACATACGTGTATGAAACGAATCATGGTTGGTATAATCCAAAGAACACGATAAGGCATGCAAAAGGAGGCCCCGACGCTCGGTGCTATGCACTAAAGGGCGGAGGAGGGGATTACTGTATCATTGGATAGCATACCAATTGTACAGGAGAATTTAGGTGGAGAAAGTGAAGAGGTTTTATTTTTCAAAATACTGTTCATTTTTTAAAAATTATTATTATTATTTTTTTAATATCTTATCAAACGTTATGAATCCAGTTTTTTTTAGTTGAATAGTTTGGATATCACATGCCTTAATAACTCTGTTAACAAGAGCCGGTTGAGCCACAAGGCTAAATAAAATAGCCGGTGAAACATCCTCATACAACTGCAAACCAAGATCCAAGCTAAGCATGCTTGATGATTACTTTCTTGCCCCTTTTAATAAGGGAGTGGATTCGCTTGAGCTTTGTGAGCTTACCCTTTAATAAGGGAGTAGTTAACCCCTCGTCTTTTTACCGCGAATATGACTTTTGGTATAATTTTATTTTTCAAAAAGGGTATTATGCAATGCTCAGGTCTATTAAGCTTTCTAAATCACCCATGTAACGAACTTTCAGCCAATGACTCCCAAACCAGATGGTTTTAGGGTTTGTCTGTCCTATGGTTGGCACAAGGACATTGGTATGACAACGTTTGAGGTTTTTTTTATAGTATATCGTGCAGACCTTTTACCTTTTGGCTTGAAATGGAAGATTGAGAGTGAGAATGAAGCAATTGAGTGTCGGCTTGATTGATCATAAGGGCTGCCTGGATAATGAAAAGCCGGCTCCCATGGGGGGGAGCCGGCTCCCTTGAACAGATACCCCTTCGGGGGTATTTTCGGTATTTATTTTGCCCTTGGGGCCTTAAACGAAGTTTCTGAAAAATTAAGGGGGTTCTAAATAATTAAAAATTTACCTATTAGAACCTTTAAATAGTGGGATTATGTTAGGGTTTGATTCTAAGGGGCACCATGAACATAAACAATAGTAATGTGTATGTTGTCTGGAAGAAAGGAAGGGAGATTTTAAATAATATTTAAATAGTAATATTATATTATATGGTATACTTAGACATTGTTTTGGACAACAGTGTGTAGGAATGGAATAGAATGTAAGTGGGAATGGAATCCATTCCCATTCTCATTCTATTGTTTGGTTGTAAATATGAAATGTGTAGAAATAGAATGATAATAACCATTCTTATGTGCGTCCTGTGATGAACCGAATATTGACCCGATAACGGATCCGAATGCGGAAGCGAAAACAGAAAACAAGACTCTAAGAACTCAAAGTGACCTTCCATGAGGTCGTGGAACTCAACGAGAACTAATGCGGAAACAAATGATAAAAAAAAAGACCGAACAAACCCCCAAGGGCAAAATGGTAATTTTTAAAAATATAAAACCGGGTGCTACCGAGCACACCACTAGAAATACAGCAAAAAATTAATCAAATTAGACCTAAGAATCACTTGATTCGGAGTCCGGATGAAGAAGATATGAAACTCCAAAGTTTCATAAAAATCACATTTTTGGGTTTGAAATCAATGCAGCAAGGGTACTTCGCAAGGGGTAAAATGGTTTTTTTAGACATAACTGGATGCAACTGAGCATACCATTAGATAGAACAGGATAAATTAATAAATCTGGACTCAAGAATCACTTGATTCAGAGTCCGGACGAAGAAGACATGAAACGGCGACGACAGTGGAGAAGACGGCAATGATGTCAAAGCCTCTGGCGACGTTGAACCCTTGTCTTCTTTCTTCGATTTAGGATTTCTTTCCCATTTTCCACCAAATCACACACACATATATATATCACCCACACCATATACCACCTCTACCGGCCCACCACATCACAGATCCACAACCCATAGCCACATCCGACGCCGTCATCGCTGATTGCTCTAACTAGACGCCCGTCTTTGCTTTGTCGTCGCTTGGGAACACGCCGATATGAACTGGGTTTTGCTACTTGGAGCTCGCTGGAACTGAGTTTTGTTTCGCCGACACTAGAATCTCGCCGGAACTGGGTCAGTTCAGTTCTGTCTTAGGCTTGTTCCTACTTAGATCTGGTTTTCCCGTAAGAAAGAGGCTTGTGATAGCCCTTGTTGAGACTCATTTTATTGCTAAATTTTTGTCCAAGCATAGGCCCTTGTTGAGGCCAATTTTTTCTTGCATTTGGGTTTTAATTGTGAATGGAGGAATTGTTTGATCCAAGTTTGGGGGGGAATTATATCCCTTCCACTTCTCTCTCTTGATTTCTAGGTGAGATTCGAATCCATCCTTTTGATTCAAGCTTTGATTTGATATATACTTGCTTTAAATGTTAGATCCATGCTCTTTTAATGTTGAAAATCACCATTAATGAGGCTTGAAGCTTTTTGTATATATATATATGTGTGTGTATATATGATTGTATATATGGTTGATTTTTGATTATATTTTGGGAGTATGGGCCTCATATAGGTGAAAGCATCATGAACCAAGTCTTCATACTTGAACAAATCCCTCAGTAACTTCGGGGTGAGTAAACAAGTTTACTCATAGAGAATGAGCATGCATCGACTCGATTTCTTTAGAGATTTTTACATTAACTTGTAACAATTCCAAAGTGGTCAGGCCACCTAATGTCAATGTCAAAAGTTAGACTCAGGGAGCATCCTAAGCTACTC